TACCTAATGAAGTTGAACTGCACCCTGTATTTTTGGAATTTTGCAGGATGTGTAAATAAAATCAATTTTTCATACTAAAATAACATTAATTATTGCCCAATTCAATTATTCAACAAATTCGTATTTAAAATATGAATTGACGTAGTTAACTATAATTATTTATCTCACATATTTTATCGACTAATGCCCGGCTTTACGTATCACCAGATAAAATAAATCAATGCGTTATGTTAAATTAATAGTATTTATACTTGTGTTTTATATTAAACTAATTTCTTCGTTTGCGAGCAGTCACCTGCGAAGATTTATACGTTCGTAATCGCGCGTCGCAATGATGGAGATTAATGTATTAATCTCCAATTCAAAAATTTTTACAATAACGACAAGATACCGTGATAAATGCAAAGTATTATTGGATGGTAATTTAACTCGAGACTCTCACCGAGCTCCGAGATAATGATTTGCTTTTATAAATCAATTCGTCTGAGAAACTGTATAGATATTATACCGTGTCGGTTCGCGGAGATATGGACATATTAAGAAAAAAAGGAGAGTGTATCATTGAAATATTGCTTGAAAGGGAGAAAAATGGTATTTTAACTGAATGTGCACTTGCTTGTATTTTATAATTGTTTAAGTCAGTTTTACAATATTTTAGAACTGTCAAAAACCATTTGGAACTGTTCGGAATCATTTAGAACAGTTTTAGAACTAACTAGGACTGCTCGAAACAGTTCTGGACGATATTAGAACTATTTAGAACTGACCATTTCGTCACTTAGAAGTCATCTAGAAGAGATTGTAGAGAATTTGAAATTGACCTATATAGAATCATTTAGAACTGTTCAAAATAGATTTAGTACTGTTAGGAACGGCCCAGGATAAACTGGAAAAGTCCAAGTACCAAGTATACAGATACTTTCATTTCTTTGTGTTACCATTCGACCTCGCCTGAATGAAACTTAACCAATGTGAATGAATCCTCTCGCGATACAAGTACCGCTTTTGACCGGAAACTGGGAACAAGTAAAACCGCCTCGTAAGCGGGGCACATGCACCTAAGCCCTAGGTCGAGCCGTGTCGACTCCCTTCCATAGCTAAACTGGTATTATACGGTCGCACCTGCCCGCTTGATCTCCGATCGGCCACTCATCGGAGGCGGTGAATTTGCGGCTTCCCGTCTCCTCCGGTCGCCGCCGTAGAAAGTGTGCGTTTCCTCCACACATTTCGCTTCGCCGGTTCGTTTCTCATCGCTTTAATGAGTCCCGGTGGGCATGATCGATTAATTGAATGTCCGTCAGTTCCATTCAGACTAAGTAAATTGTTTGGTAATAGTTCGATATCAAATTACGACAAGCACTTCGCGTTGCGAGCGCTGTGCAACTAATTGTCGTGTGGATGTTTTACGAGGAATTTTTACCCCTATTCTGGAATTCACGGATTTACAAATGTTTCAAAGGCGTTGCTTTATGTATACCTCACGAGTGCAGGCTACTCACGCTTTACCATCATATCCTAGTATAACTAAGTTCATCTATTTCCCTTTGTGGAACGAGAGCTTTAATTAATTATAGTGTTAACGACGGAGGAGCGTTTTAGATAACAGCTGAATTAAATTACACCTACCCCCCGATTGTGTTTTTCAATTAGTCCGGCTGGTTCATAACAGGCCGGTTTCCGAGCGATCACTCATTCGCTGAGAGCACGGGATTTTTATTTTTACCGTTTCCTATTATCGTTAGCTAGATGATTTTGATGAAATGAATACGGCAGAGGGAAGATGCCCGAAGATATATGAAGCGGTAAGCTCGAATTGAAACTTACATTTATAATACCTTTATCTTTATTAAAGCGCTTCAAGTCGAGTTTCTTTCCCCCGCAAAAAGATCCTTCTACCGGGAATCAATCAATGTAACATCCCCAATCGACTGGGGACCCGCCTTTTTTCTCGTTTTTATTCACAAGAAATTGTCTGCCTATCTCCGACCAGATGTTAATAAGTCTTCGCGGTTGAGTAATGGTAGCGGAGACACTGATAGCTGTTACTCCGGAACGTCAGGCCACTTTGTTCGCCCATCTTATTCTCCGGCGTTTTTTCCGATTTGGTTCGGGAACGGATCCTTTTCGAATGAAAAATGATCGGAAGCGGGCATTATTCCAATGTTGGTCACACGTAACACTATATAGAATACTCGAATGTATGTAATACATAGAGCTCAATTCCATATATTGGAATTTAAGCTCGAGAATATAGAGAGAAGTGAAAAATGTATTTTTTTGTGTGTATTTTATGAATGATTGTTTCTTTGGTAGCTAAAACTAAAGTCCATTATATTAACGACTCAAAATTTCTCACTTACAGGAGCCGATGCTAATACACTAATTTCCCTCGCATACATTCCGGTTCTCGGCTAACACATAAAATCGATGAAACGTAGTCATTAACGATTTTAACGAGTTTGAAAAATGGAAAAAAATTGTCTCAAAGCGGATCCGACCGAGCCCGGAGATTATATTCCGTAAATACCGATTGGCTACGAAGCAGCGAAAATTCTTTAAAAATTCTATCGGATAAGTAAGCTTTATCTGTCGGATCTACACTTGTAGCGAAATAAAATCCGAGTTAATTACCGCCCATCAGATGGTGGAATGTCACTAAAATGTGGAAAACGAATTACGTCCCGGCGTTAATCGAAATAGAAGCAGAACCAGTTTAAATGCATCAATTACAAAAAAATATAACACAATATTTCATTAATAGTATAATATAATTAACGAGGTTGGTGGAGAAAAACCACACTGCGCCATCCTGCGGAAAAAATACGAAAATCGCTTCGGACCATTAAAAATAAACCTTTTTCAGGATCCGTACCTCTCGAAAGTAATTCCCTAATTACTTTTTACATCGTCGGTCAAGCTCGAGAAAGCGATCTCTTCACTCTGCGGTCCTATAAAAAGGACATAAATCTACTCGGGAAACGCTGCTTTCTAAAAAAAGTGCATTATCGAGCCGCCCGTAAAACGGAAGCAGATGAATTCTTTCGGATATTTTGTCGGTTTATAGATAACAAACGATTAAAATTTGTTTTAAAGCTTTATCATCCATCTATAAATTCTTCTAATGTCATTAAAGTGATGCTCTATTTGGTACAAAATTTATAAAAAAAGTGTATGAAAATTAGCGCTAAATAAGGGTGGATATTTCATGAAAAATGTGGATGCAAAATTTATAAAAGCTAATCCAATTAATCATGATTATTGTATTTCAGTGCATTTCTATTAGAAAATCCGGCCTCATCAATCTTGTTCGAAGCGAACCGAATATTAATTTTAATCTTTTATAACCTAGTGCCCGGCGAGCTATAACATTCTATCTTCGATTCGCTTCGTGTGTGATGCGTAAATAAAAAACGAGCATCTCGAAAACGAGATTTCTATCGCGCATCTAGCCGCATAAAAAGACGATGGAAAAACGGGCTCGGGCGCAAAAATCATCATCGCGCCGCTACCAGTATTTCTAGTTCTGTCCCATGGCCGATGCCCCATCGTATTCCGGTTAATAAATTATTTTTCACCGGACCGACGGACGCGTGTTTATGAATATGTAACGAAATATAAATGGGAATATCGAATGCAATTTTCCTGTAAAATAATGTCATTCAACGTTAATTGGAATAGATTTTGTTGCATGCATAACATGCACAAACAATCCAAGTGAAAGTTTAATTATTATATTAATTACTTTTATTTCATTTTACATCGACTATAGTGATGAAATTTTCCTATTAAAATATTGAAAATTTTACCTCGCTAATCTCATAATTCTATACACACACACACACAGTAAAATATGTACTTCAACTCGAAAGGGTAGTTATTTGCTCTTGCACAAACAGATATCAATAAAATAATAATTCACCCATACGATTACCAAGCATAAATAAAACGGCCTCTGAGCATTACCTGCATTTCGCATTGCTGCGATACCTGCCGGCTACCAATTTAATAACAACGCAACAGGAACACAGCAGAAATCGAACAGGCCAAGGCCCCACACACCGGCAACCGACTTTTTCTCAGGAGATGTGATCATCACACCTGCTGCAAGGGAATGCGGACCCGGTCTCATTGTTACTACGTACGAGGTATCTTCGAATTATACTGCTGGATACTTAGCGGTTGATTAAAAAATATTTATCCCGACATTGCCTATTGTGCTGGATTAAAATTAATCCGGGTAATTTCAGCTCGTAAAATAGAATGTTTGTTCGAAGTTTAAGGTGGAGATTCCTCGGGAGATGCGATAAAAATGAGCGTGAAATTTCTTCAAATGACAGCGATGTAAAAAGGAAAAAAGCAATTGCGAGTTAACTCCCGCTTATATAAGGTTCAACTTTTAATTGCCTTTTACTTTTTATGGCTACTAACCTGGTTAACAATAAAAAAAACAACCCAATGAAATTAGGAGCAGTTAGTAAAACGAGAGTGGAAAAAATATAAAAAAATCTTAATATTTTTCCCACGATCTGGTCATTGATTTTATGTTCAATAACTGTTATAGAACTCACAAGTTTATAAAACGTATATTAATCCTGCCGAGATAAAATACTTTATGATAAGAAAAATAACAAAAAACGTCCAGGAATTTAATTAAAGAAGTTCCCCATTATCCGGCGGATAGAAAGAGATCTCCTTTCTGCTTCCAAACTTTGCGAGATGTAACGTTTTCCGAAGTTATTTAAACATCCGCGGCCGATTGTTTTCCTTAGATTACTCACTTACCTAAAACTTGTCAAAGTAGGAGGTACTTTATTTGATCTAATTATAACCGAAGGGATCAAATCAAGCGAGAAATTTAATTTTCAAACCTCCAGAAATCGAATTCTGGCGTTATATCCGCTCATTGAACGCCGTGTTTTTCGGTTTTTCGATGTTGATTTTGCGCCCGGCGAATTTCCAAGGTAAGTAATAACATTAGGATGTATTTCGAGGAAAAATCGGTTTTCTTTTCGATATTGGAAACGAAAGGAAATATTGAAAAATTTATTAGTATTAGTAAAAAGATCATTAAATAAGTGCAACAGGAACTCGTACTGTTTCTTGAGGTGATTCTCTTGCGTATTCCTACCGGGCTCTACTCAACCAAACTTCGATAAACAAAACGGACAACAATGGCAAAGCGGCACAACGAGAATTTGCGACTCGTGGCATTTCGGCTTCACGCACATAACATCCTCACAATCCTCGATTCCCAAGCACCTGGAGCTCACGCACTTCTTGCAACATTTCCCGGGTATCGTCTTGAGCACCTTGTGGGGGCTGCAGACGGGCTCCGTGCAGTTGCGTTGCTGGCACTCCTCCTTCGAGTACAGCCTCTGTTTGATGCAAATCGGGCAGCACCTGCACTTGACCTGTATGGCGGCTTCGTTGGGCTTGCAGCTGAGCGGGCCGCAGGTGACCTTCGAGCAATCCGTGCTCTTCGTCTGGCAGGTTTGAGGCTCGCAAACGGGACAACACTCGCATTTGGGCACTACCGGGGTTTGCCAGTATTTACAACGGTTCGGAAAACACAGCGCGGATTTGCACTCGGCGGGGGTTTTGCAGTCTTTTGGCAGGCATTGCGGGCAGCACTTGCACGGGACTTGTTTGAGGACTTCACCAAGCGGGCACGTTTTCTTAGGACATGTGACGTTCAGGCAGTCTTCGGGAAATTGGCAGTCTTTCGGGATGCAATGAGGGCAGGTTTCGTTCTCGCCTCGTCGTATCAATTCGTTGGCGTTGCATGATAGACTCGGGCAGGAACTGAATTCGTTTAAATTACTGCCTATGGAATATATTTGAAGGCAAACTAACACTCGAATGTAGAACATATTTGTTCGGTGAACTTGTGTTTATGATAGTAAATAGCGCAAATAAGTCGAGAATCACAATCGCAATTGAATTTATATGAATAAGAGGTTTCGATAATGCTGCAATTTGCAAGTGTTTTTGTTTTTCGAAATATCCCAATAAATATACTGTCGTGATTGTTTATCACAAGAACTTTCTATTTTATTGTTTGTTTTATCTATTTAATTGTTGCGCCTCGATAGTTCAGGGATTCCTGGAGAATATTTTATAAAAATAAAATATTTTTCATATAGGTATTATGTAATATCTTTTCACACCGATAACAATTTTGTGGTAGTTAACTGAAATAACTTATATAACCCATTGGAAAATCTAGACCGTAAAATTCGAAGACATATCATTTGCGCTATCGGTTTTTCGCTGCGATAAACTCGAGTATTTAATGATATTCAATGAATTTTAAACCATTGCATATTGGTTTCGACCGAACCGTGCATTGCACTATTTATGAGTTTTTGCTAAATTTTTATTGCTGCAATAAACACTTTTATGCTTCAATAAACCATTTTATTTTTCCTAAATGAAATTTAGAAACTCGCAGCTGAGTCCAGCGAATAATGCTGTTCTTTATGGAATAATTTAAACATTTATTTTCTTGCAAAATTGAGTAAAATTCGAGCTCGTAAGTATGTTCTTAAAAATCTAGTCTTGATAGCAGGATATGACAGGTAAATTACGAAAGGAGCGCTACAAGACCGCATTCTCAAATATTACACGTAGTATCGTCGAAACAGTAACGGAAGCCGTTCAGGAAATATAAACGGAAGTCGCGAGATGATTCCAGGTTGGCTGGAAGTTGCCATCGGAAGTTAAAAGCGAAAACGACAACGCGAACTCCTGTTCCGATTGCAGGAAAAGCGAATTACAAAGTCGTTGCAACTCATTTCGCTTAATTTTTCAAAGTTTTCTAAAGAGTCTCGACTCTGAGACAAATAGTTGGTATTACTTTACATATTTAGAGATTCTGATCAATTGCATGATTATTTTTGTGAAAGTGAATTCTACGCCTTTGGGAAACAGGATTAATGAACGACCCACTTTAAGTTGGTTACATATTGCACCTGCTTAAAAGCCGAAGAACCACTTAAAATCTCGCCAGCTCCGTCGTTCTTAAACCCATTTCTAGTAGGTACTACAAAAAAGCTCAATTTATTAAATGGAAGTGCTCTTCAGTACGAACAAAAACAGTACTCAAAGATACGACATGCATTAAAATCATACACTGCTATTTAATTACTCAAACTATGTGCAATAAAACAAGTTTTTAATTATAATAACGTTCGTATTGACCAATTTAAACCGAGTAATATAAACTTTAATAGTTAAACTCCGGCTTACACATTACCATTATATAGAGTGGCTTGAGATTTCACCGAAACTTAGAAATCATTTACCCAACTGTGTTGTTTATTCGCAAATATGCAGCTTCCTTGGGCTACTGTTTGACTTTGAATGATTACTCTTGTTGCACACACCGCTCTTTGTAAGCTGATAAAACGTTCTCTTTGCTTCTATTACAAAGGGATTTAACCGATTTCGTTCTCGTATTCACTTCGCCAAAGATGAATTGCACGGAGTAGAAAATTTTGCAATATTTCCCTTTACTGCGGTACGTTTTATATTACACTAGACTACTCGTGCTGTAGAAAACATTTGCAATTACATTTCAATAAAATGTTAAAAATCATGAAAATTAACATGAAAATTATGTGTTAAATAAAATAGTAGCGATCGAATATCAAGTATCAACGCGACAGTGAAGGATGTCCTCGAAAATCTTCGTGTTACCTTTGATTAGAGAATCAGCAAGTTCCCGATAAAATTTGAGTATCGTGCGGACCGGAAAGGAGAGAAAATTGAATTTCTACTCTATTTGGTCGAACGAACTGCGGTAAAATCCCTTTAAGGGGTCACACGCGTGGCGAACGACTATAAAGACTGACTTTGCATGCCTGCTGACCTTTTGACACTTTAATCACGGTCATTCGAGAAGTTATCGCCTTCATGTTGTGAACAATATGTCACCGTAATTTTCGGTATAATACTTAAAAATTCAACGACTTTTAAATAAATACCGTGAGCGCACTTATACAGGGTTATTCCGTCTCCCACAATATCCCTAATATGATTGAATATGAATGCAAATTGGCAACCCCGCAAGTTTAAAATATATACTGCACCAGAAATTATCCATATTATTTCACGAAACTCTTCATGAGGAAATATTTCACACAAATTGATAAAATTCGTTTTTTTTGTACTACGACCAGCTGTGCAAGAGCGACTGCCATTTTTGGATTTTAATATTATAAGCTCGCAATTGTTTTCCAATTAAACGGTCGACTGAACTCTATAATTTCTCATTTAGTTTCAGATTGAATTTTATTTCGAATTATTGTCACGTATATGCAGCAGGACCGGGGCAATATGGCGGTGACGCGACTCGTATATACATCGAGACAGTTCGCCGGATTTTTAATGGGCAAAAAATTGATAATCTTTGCGGGTACGGAAATGCCGGGGTTTATTTTTGCGGCAAATGCGAGTTGTTTACGGTTGATTTCGTTTAGGCATCAAGTTGAATTTGATTTCGATTTGATTGCATCAAATGAAATGTATTAAATTTCTGCAGGAATAAATTTGCACATTTTAATTTTTCATCATTATATTGTATAATCGAATTTATTCTTCCGTAAAAAATAATTACTCCAAATTTATACATACAGTGTGTATGATTATAAAGGCTTAGTTAATTTGAATTGCATTATGCAGATCGACAGAAAGAGCTGAATCAACTAAGGTCACACACACACACAAATAAATTATTACACAGATCTCACTCGATTCGCAGTAATCAAATGTAGTGAATTCGATTCACTTGTGTTGAAAATGTTGATAATAAAAAGGAGATTTATATTCTTCTGTAATCCTTGCAGGATTTGCGGCCGCGTTGATGCGTTAATGCCGCCTTTGTTTTGTTCAATTTTATTTGATATGGAATTTCACTCCTTTTACTCATCATAAACAAGGAAACCGCGGCCGCGGTTTGTTTTCCGGCTTTCGACGCTTCGCTTCTCTGAATAGTCAAGTAGTACGCCGGCGAAGAATGAATTTTCCATAAGAGGATTTTCAAAGGATTTTTTTTTAATTAAAAGCAAAGAGTAACCGATCTTCCACGAGACGGATTAATCCGCGAACTATTCAAAACTTTGTGATATTTAATTTTTTTTTATTATTATTACAACTTACAACTAAATTTTATCGCTTGAATGCATTAACTATAAAATTTCCTTTATCTTACTGCATAGGTACCTTTTATTGCTTCGAGATAATTTCCTGCATGTCCTGCAAGTTTAAATACCCATCGAAATATTCCTAATGCATTAAAATTGTATCAGAAACCGTCGTAAAATCATATTATAGCCCAAACTCTATAGCGGCAATAAATTCGAAAAATATTCCAGTAATCCCTTCGGGTTGATAGAAGACGCTTCAAATTAAATTGCATCGTATGGAATTTATAGATATTTTTTCGCGTTGGTAATTTAAACAACTCGACTGCTGGTAAACGAGCGGCGGCGTTTTTGCGCGATTCCTGCGCGAAAAAGATTCGAAATTTATGCGAACAAAAGCCTTGCTGACGCCTGAAGAGAAAAACCGCGTCAGTCCTCTATACAAAAGAGGAACGGCTACTTCCAAATTGAAAATGGCAAAAAGTTGTACCGGCCCGCAAAGCACGCCCTTTGTTTAGGGCGCCTGCAAAAATTATTTTCTTTCTCTCGATTAATAATACATCTCCGCAGCGCGTCAATTAACGCGCCCGTTTCTAATTAGCGATTTCGACGGTTTTTAATTGAATTGTTACGTCGCGACTAATGATAACATCCAGATGACGATGGGGAATCAATACCAATTTGTTGCGGTCGCGTGAAAATGCGTGTAACAATTTCACACGACGTGCACACTTCACTGACAATTTATTTGTGCTATGGTAACGACCCCATCATTTCACCGGATAAAAAAAAGAAGCGATATAAACGAATCAATAAGGCATAATGACATTTTTGTTTTATTGGTACATACAATTGGTTTAAAATGTACATTTTTTTAGCAACGCTTGAACCGAAAAGCCCGGAGCAACGTCCGTCGTGGAATTGATGAAATTTCCCAGATAAATCCACCATCTTTTAATTGGTAGTTAATCACTAGTTTCTGCTGTTTAAATACGGAGTCGCGTTCATTTACATGAAAGGATGTCGTCCGAGGGATAAATTGACTCGTCTCGAACTGGATTATTATGTTTGTTAAATGGTTTCGAGGAATAAGATCGAGCTCTAAACTACAAATTAATTATTCAGTTAGCTCCACGAGATTTATTTATGGTTTTCTACTGCCTCGAAAATTATACCTAAGAGTAAATGTGCATCGGATGCACCATTAAAATTGAGTTTGAAGATAAGAATTATTTATTAATTCTCGAGCAACTCGCGCATTTCGCGACTTTTGCTACCGCTATTGATCTCTGTGTATAATTCTCATATTAAATGTGTAAGAAATAGTTTTTTATATTATTAAATTGAAAATGAAGAAAAGTGAGACCTGGCGATGTGTAAGTGTAATTATTATTGAAGACCGCCGTCTACTCGATTATATAGTGTTTGTATTAAAAATGAGTTTCCGGTGCTTTGAAATTACACTTTTATTCTTCATTTAACTCAATATATCACTGTTATTAACCATACTCTATGATTATTGTGCACTTGCAGGAATGTCTCGACGCAGGAAATGTAAATTATAGAACCATTACGGGTTATAATTTCGATTCGAAATCTTCTATTTAATACCATTGTATTGAAGCTTCAGATTTGAAATTTTTCAAAAGATATAATACTGTTGTCATATGCTAGTAATCTTTAACGGAACATTATTATACGTACCGGTTGAACAGTAATATCAAACAGATTATTGTTTGATAGAAAAACGATTTTTTTGTACCAATTTTATTGTCTATACATGTCACAAGTTTTATATTTACCTATTCACCTTGAAATAAATTATATATTTAGACATAAATTTTAATGTAACACTTTTAATTACCTAAACAATTAATAAATGAGTAATAAATTGAATTAAAAATGATTATTTACTTATCTCGAACGAAACATTAAAATATGTAGTGTCACCTCATATTGTTTTATCTGAAATCATCATTATCGGATCGATACACATTTTTGAGATAAATAACGAGTTAAATTATAGATTTTCCTACAAGTATATTTCTAAAAGTGCAAGTATTTGTACCAAAATGGTTGTAGCTAAAGTTTATAAATACCAATATAAATTCAGAGGTTTTCCTAAATATACTGACTTGAAAATAACCGAAGAGGAGCTGCCAGAAATACAAGATGGAGGTAGGTTAAAAATTATAATTCAAATATATTTCCCCAAACGAAAACGAAATGATTGTAGAATATTTGGCTCAAGCGGTTTACCTCAGCATTGATCCTTACATGAGGGCATATGCAAACTCATTGCCCGTTGGATCAACTATGATTGGCACGCAAATAGCTATGTAAGTAACAGAAACTAGCAACTTTACAAGCAAAAAAAACTGGGGATATTTGATCCCATTGATTAATTATTTATTTTAGAATAATCGAGAGCAAAAACCCAAATTTTCCTGTTGGCAAATACGTACTAGGAGACTTCGGTTGGAGAACTCACACCATTTCCAATGGTAAATTGGAAAACGAAAAGATACCGCAACACATCTTACCGCAACACGACAACATACCTCTCTCATACCACCTAGGAATTCTAGGTCTTGTAGGGTGAGTAAACAATCAGAAACCTTTTTAATTCCGGTTACATAACTAGCGATTTAGTATCTATAAGCGTGAACATAATCTCCCGTGTAAAATTATTCCAGATATACGGCCTATTTCGGTTTGCTAAATATTTGCAAACCCAAAGAAGGGGAAACGGTCGTCGTATCTGGAGCAGCTGGAGGTGTCGGTTCATTAGTTGGACAAATAGCGAAAATTTTAGGTTGTACGGTCATCGGTATAGCGGGATCGGATGAAAAGGGTAAATGGCTGACGGGGGAGCTGGGATTCGATCATTTTATTAATTACAAAACTGACGACGTCAAAAAGGCACTGACGATTGCCGCTCCTAATGGTGTAGACTGCTATTTTGATAACGTAAGTATTAGTGAATAGTTGTTCTGGTTAATTACGTGTGTTGTTAATAGGTTGGTGGTGATGTCAGTTCTAAAGTGATTTACCAGATGAACGAATTTGGACGTATAGCAGTATGTGGATGCATTTCCAATTATAACAGCATAAATGAACCTGAAGGTGAAATTTTTAATCTCTATATAATTCATCCATCGTTATCACTTACATTTATCTATTTGATTTCCTAAAAACAATCACCGATATATCTCATTTTATTTAATATATCTACGATAATTTCCAGAAATATTTTTCCATATATTATTTTAACTATAATCAAAAGTAGTTATTGTATTTTATCTAAAAGTATATGTTGACCTAAATACTTTTCCATTAGAGAACGCGCAATTGTAGGAACAATTAAGTACGCCTCAAGTAATTATCAATAAATATTTTAACCAAAAGCAAATAAATTATTCATCCATCTACACGCACTACAACATGCGAAATATTTAGTTAATGCGTTAAAGAAATATTTCTTTTCCTATCGAATTGTTCGTTTATTTGTTTAAGAGGATTATTTTGCCACATCATTTCTCAAATACCAGGAATATGTAATTGTATTTATTTATTATTTTAATGTATTTTATTTATTTCATATAGATGTTCTTCTTCAATTTCCAATAACCTTCAAACAATTACGGATGGAAGGATTCGTCATATCGAGATGGGCCGACAGCTTCGCCGAAGCTAGTCTTCAATTGCTTGAATGGATCAAAGAAGGAAAATTGAAATGCCGCGAAACCGTTACCGAAGGTTTCGAAAATACTTTTGAAGCGTTCAAAGAAATGTTGAAAGGGAGAAACGTCGGCAAAGCCATTGTGAAATTTTAGAATGAAATTATAATGGATTCATGAGCTTTAATTGGATTTATTTAACCTCATCTCTAATTATTCAATTTCTATGTTTTATAGCGGTTTGTGAAGGATGAAAAATAAATGAAAAACCTATATCAAAGTCAATAAGATTACAGCTACAACCTATATCAACGAAAGCCGGGCTATACAGATATAGCTCGCTTTAATATCGTTCTGTATTAATCAAGGCGAAGATTAACTACGTTTGTTTTGATAAAATATGCAAATGCCTGCTAATTTGGGAAAAGGGACCGAATGGCTAGACGGCTCAATAAATTCATCGAAACTCGCCTTTAAAATTCCCCTTTCCAAACATCATTAAACATATGATTGTCAGAATTTTAGTCAAAATATTTCACAAGTAAATCCCACCATGTTTCTCATCGATATCAAAATTCTCGTTGAATAAAATGCACAGTTCAATAATTATCCGCAATGGCTGGAAGGGAAATTATTCAAATACATATCGGACAAGCCGGTGTTCAGCTGGCCAACGCCTGTTGGGAGCTCTATTGTCTCGAACATGCAGTAAAATTTGATGGTACATTGTACGATCCAAATCAGGCGGAGGATAGTTACAGCCCGTTTTTTGCGCTCACCGGAGCGGGCCAGGTTGTACCTAGAGTGTTGATGATAGATTTAGAACCGACGGTCATCGACGAGATACGCACTGGATGTTACAGGTATTCTATACACATCGCAAGATTACTAAATTATTACGCTCAATTTCAGGAAATTGTTCCATCCTGAGAGATTGCTTACGAGCAAAGAGGACGCGTCGAATAATTTCGCGAAAGGAATGTACGGAGTTGGACATGAAATGGTAGATTTGGCAATGGACAGGGTTAGGAAACTCGTTGAAGAATGTGGAAATATGCAGGTGATTTTAATTGAATCAATTTGGTTGATGTTAATGATGTTTGCAATGATAAATTTTAGGGGTTCTTGATATTTAGAGCATACGGTGGTGGTACGGGCGGCGGTTTCGGCTCGATGTTTCTTCGAAACCTTGAAAACTACTTTTGTAAATCATCCATCTTAGAGTTCGTGGTGTTTCCTTCCCCTAAATTATCAAACATCATAGTAGAACCTTATAACACTGTATTATCTACCCACGCTTCGACGGAGTACCAAGACATAGCCTTTATATTAGATAACGAAGCAATTTATGATATTTTAAGCACAAAACTCGGCAACCCTAGGCCAATGTACTCGAACGTAAACAGAGTTATAGGTAAGCAAATATTATTAATGCTAAAAAATTTGCTATAAAACACACAATTGCAGGTCAAGTCGTTTCCAACGTCACCGCCTCGCTGAGATTCGAAGGCGCTCTAAACGTAGACCTCTCCGAGTACCAAACCAATTTGGTACCGTATCGACGGATACACTATCCCATAGTCGCATACGCGCCTTTCATGCCGAGCAAGAGGCTCTTCCACGAGCAATTCTCGGTAGCCTCGTTGACGAATTCCTGCTTCAAACCCAGTCATCAGCTCGTAAAATGCGATTCGGATCAAGGTAAATACGTGTCTTGTTGTCTTCTCTACCGTGGTGATGTGGTTCCTGTCGATGTGAACAACGCTGTGGTGAACATCAAGCACACCAAGAACGTGCAGTTCGTCGATTGGTGTCCCACGGGTTTCAAAGTGGGAATAAATTACATGCCTCCGATCGCCGTGCCCGGCGGCGATTTGGCCAGAGTAACGAGAGCTGTGACTACCTTGTCGAATAGCACCGCCATTAAATTCTACTGGTTAAAGATACTGAAGAAATACAACGTGATGCTGCGCAAACGGGCGTTCGTCCATCACTACGTTTCCGAAGGAATGGAGGAGGGCGAATTCCTCGAAGCCAAGGAAAATTTGAGGGCTCTGATTTTGGATTACAAAGAAATGGAATCTTAAGGCGCGCTTGTTTTATATTTGTAATTAATTGTTTCATTTCTTCCAGTGGTATAAATAATTTATACAAAACATTTCAATCTTTTTTCGTTCGGGTTATCTAAGATAAACGAGGCGAATTAAAACTCCCATTAACTTAAATACATTTCATTTAAAATGTACATATTCTGGACATAATGAAATGATCTCTTAAAATATTTCCATCTGATTGACATTACGGGTTGTTTTAATTAAAGCTTCCTCCGCGTCCATTACGAAGTTAACAAACCACGGATAATTAAAATACAATATTAAGGTTTCAACCGATGAAGAATTCAAACGAAACTGTCGAAGCGGAGTCTTTTTATAATTCATTTTCCTAATTCGAATCGCTACGCAAACTTAAAGAAAACCGCCCCGACGTCGCCGAAATACGAAAATCCGAAGGTGCATTGTTCAGGAACCTATTAATAATGGTTAAGATGGAAGATACATTTCGAAAATGCTTTCGCTGTTTCGGCTCGTAAACGCTATAACCTGATATAACACAATGCGAATCATCTCCGCCAGCGTCTCTCCTAATCACAATACTTCCTCCCAATATTTCATTCCGTGGATTTAAAATATTAAAGATGGATTAGCCCCGCTCAGTGGCGTAGAAAATTACAATTTACCTACTTCCTGATGCCTAAGAATAAGAAAACAAGGTGGTTTAATTAATAATTATAATAAAAATATTTTTATAAGAGAATCAAAGTCTTGATTGGATTAACGATGATGGCATCAAGCGAGCAAATATATTGGTAAATTAATTGTTAGTTCCGTCACTGTTTACGACGAAGAATTAATTAACAATTTCCCAAAGGAACTGGTTCATATCAATCAAGCTTAGCGTAATAGCTATTGTGAATTCATCATCTAATTGTATGGTGGTTTCGGTACTGTTGTAAGTACAACACGAACATTAACTGGATGTGGAAGATTTACAGCGTATTTTATAATGCTAAACTTCGCTTTGAATATTTATCGTCCGACCACAGCTCTAGCGCTCTCTTGGCGTTTGATCTTCGAAGGCGTAAATTGAAATAATATCCGAAGAAATTAGCACCTAAGCGTAATGTCGAGCACAAAGAAAATCCATTTAAATTCGTTACATTAAACTTTAAATATATTGTAGTGAAATAGTGACTTTACGTCCCGATAATCCCTCGAATCTCTCCGAGCTTTTTTCCTGCAGAGACAACGCATTTTTGGTTCTACTAATACAGACATCAATCAGAAACGCTTCCGCCTGTAAAAGATTAAATCGGCGATATCCTCCATTAATTTCCAAATATCCCTTGCCTTAAATCTGTTCTGCCATCTGTCAAGTGTCTATCGGAAAAATCTCAGTCACCGAATCGAGAGTGTACTGTTTTAGTAGGCGAGTCACTGCATCATTTACCACAATAATATTTTATTTTCCACATTTTTCTCCAGTAACCAGAACAATTATCAATAAATACATGAAGAGTCGACTCAACAAAATAATCTTATATAATTCGAATGAATTGAAGTGTTATAAACGTTTTAGTTTGTTGATAAACTTAGTATTTTTTAAAGGTATTCTATAATGGGATATTAATCAGGCTTTGGGACTATTGAGATATGAGAAACCGAGCGCAGCAAGTAGCTAATTTTATTTCGGGTGGACGCAATGAGGCGTGGGGTTAAGGAGACGCGCCGAGGCCGAGGTCCTGGAGGACCCATTCGAGGGCTCTGCATTGATCTTCGAATTGATGCGGCTCAATGATCGAGAATCCCGGAGAATCACGATAGCGCGGAATTGAATTGTCGGGCACGAGATAAGACGGGAAATATGTGACAGATAAAACCGGCTAAAACGGGACGGTTGAAAAAATATGCACGCGGCGCATGATTCATTCGAGGGAGTTTTTATTTGCGAGATTTGCGGGGGTTAGGCGATACATTGCGAGTGTGTGCGGACTCGCAACCGGCGGCACGTTTTCGATCTTTGCGACCTTTTAACTGCCCGACTATTACCTTAAAAGCATAAATTTGATTTACGTTCTCCTCCATAATGCGCTACCAGCATCCCGCTGTCCGTTTTCTATTAAATTATCGGGTTATTCGGGGCGGTACGGCCGGGCCGGAATCACGGCTACGTTACACCTCGAATCCGATAAATTTTCCGAAGGATTATCGACTCTAACTCAGCTATTATTGCTACCGACTTTTCGAACTAAAAGCAAATTATCGTGTAAAATATAGGCGCCGAGTAATGGAGGTTCTTTTTTTTGTTTACAATTTAACTGTATACAATTTTTGCGCTGTGAATTAGAATGCAGATTTATTAGAACGAATGTATTACGTGCTCCGAGATGAATCCGTTTAATGCCCGACAAACGGCGTTGAATTTTCAGTTTTCTCCCGGTGCCAATCTTTACAGTCAATAAAATTGTTTAGGAGCGATAAAAGGACAGATGTGAATTAAATTCCATTCGATATAGCTAGGGGATAGATGTTTTTTTTAAGTTTATATTCCACTCTATTTTCTTGAAACTTTGTATGGGAGAGCCGCTGCGGGAGAGAGCGAGTTATTTCGATTTTTTATGTCGAGCCGGGCCCGGACCGGACGAGTTTTTATTAGCGGCGATAAGAAGGGAAAAACGTTGTTCATTCCATTTCGGGAATTTTAATTTTACATCCACATTACTGTAAAAATCTTTCGCTCAAACTCGATCTGAACATGAGAAAACGTTTCCGTTTGAGTGCCTTTGTTTTTCATAGAGTCCAACAATAAGGGAATAAGAAAGAACGAATCTGCCGACCATATAGTCATCCGGAATGGACCCTTTTTTTCGTACTCTTGCTTTTATTCCGTTCCATTAGTTTTAAATCTCGGAGTAGAGAAAAATTTGAAAATTTGAAACGTTGAAACAGATTTCCTCTTAAAAATGCTATGGCGCAAGAAATACATATGCGGATGAATAAAAAGAGGTATAGTTCAGTGGAAGTTACCAAAAAATCGGAAATTACAAGAAAAATCACACTAGATTGAAATTTGACACAACTATCTAACATTCTTCTAATGTTAGAACAGGAAAAGGACTTGAAAATGGCACCCTTCCTTCAAGAATATTCGAATAACTGTGCAAAATTTTATAATTTCAAATTGTAGACTAGTTTGACCGGGCTAATAACAACGCGAGCACAATTCCAAAAGAAGATAATAAATTCAATGCAATCGAAAATTGAAACAAAGCAATGCTCCATCATAAAAAGTGCCCTATATTTTTTCGCATGGAACAAAAAGCCTTCGGAAGCTTTTCATCGCCCTATAACGTTCCCATCGTATAAAAATGTTTTGCATATAAATTGTCGACGGAAATTCGCCGAATCAATCAACCCGTTCTAATGCAGTCAAGAAACTAATTAATTTCTACTTATCCAACACACCTTCGTCGGACTAATGCATCCGGAAAATCTCAACGCACCTAAATGATTCTATTACGTGACCGGGGCGATTTTTCCCGCCGCGTTCGCCGCTGCTAATTTGGAAAAAATTTTTGAATTATTTATTTCCACTTTTAAACCTCATTTGATATATCTACGAGTATCTAATATTAGAAGAGAGCGCCTATAAATTCTGGTTGTAATTAAATTAATTGGTTAGATACTTTACTTCTCTATAATGAGAAATTATTGGAGGCATCTGAGACAGAACTATTTCCAAAAACCCCCCGAAACCGCTCACCTACAATTGTAAATATATTCACAAGTAGTTTCGCAATTAAGATAACGTCCGCTTTCGAGTAGATTATCAATCTTATTCAGCAATTTATCAGCGACACACGAATAGCGGTTTACGTTGAACTCCGTTCGGAGGGGCATTTGCATTTTTCGCTTTCGGCTAGAAGGTCCTTTGCGAGCGCCCCCGTCCCCGCCGTCGCGCCGCCCCGACAACCGGATTATTTTCACAGGTTTCGGGAGGTCTAATCCGCGCCCGGAACAACCCGTCCCTACCCAAGAAAAGCCCGGAGCCCCGGCGAAATACGAAGCTACCTGCAATTTTTTTTCTGTATACTAGTATATTAAATGCATTTAGATGATTAACTTTTGCGGTGGGTTAGTAAAATTTCGCCAATTCGATAATTTGCAACGTATAATACATGTTCGTGTAATTGGGGTTAATCGGATTGCATCGGCACATATAGTACCCAATAAATGGTTTCATGTTGTTAGCATCTAAATACGCTAATGGAAGATAACAGCTTTGTCTGATATCAAAGCAAACACCTATCAGTAGCTTCAAACTATTGACTAGGGCATTAATGCAACCTGAAGGACATTATGCGATTAGAGCCTATATATGAATAAGTGAGTATAATAGATTCATTTAAGTCCATTGGAAACTAATCGCATTGAATGATTATACTAAATCTAATAGAAAATTGTGACTGTAGTATTAAATTTGCTTTCGTGAAGTAATACAGGGTATTCTCGAACTTATGGCAGATTTCATTTTTTTTTAATTATAATAAACAAAATTTGAAATATTGAAAATATTTCAAAGAAATGCGATCCTTATTTGAATTTGTTTATTACTTATTTATTTCAAATGGTCTCTAAATTTTTAGAATCATGGATAAATTATAAAAGTACCTAAACCGGGTTTTTCAAACAATTAGAAGAAAATAAACTTTGTTAGTTAGTTAAATAAGCTCACCTATTTTGTTGTTGAAAGCTGCTTAATTGTTCCAGAACATCACTATCACGAACAATAACTAACTAAACTAAGAACACTAAGTACAAAAACAATCAAATAAATCACTAGAGTCTAATCGCAAAAATTTATTTACCCCCGATTTTATAATCAAAATAATATAATTCGCACTATAAAACGATCGGTATCGATAACGTTTTTCTAAAGCTGGAAGGTGGAGGGGGAAATTTCCGCTTGCTGATAAAATACACCGAATCTATTTTTTTGAGTTAAAATTCCGATCAGCTGACTATTCGGGCCAGGGTTGTATTCGCTCTTTGCATTTATTTCTAATGGCTCAATTTTGTTTATTATACATTTTTAAGAAAAATGAAATCTGCAAATCGGTCTCAAATTATGCAAACTACTACCCCTAGAATTT